CAACCCCCCATACCCCTCCCCCATCCCAAAAAGTTTCTCTGCGGATTTGGGCTGTACTCAGCAAGCGCAGTAAGGCTGCGCAATCAAAAAAAAAAGAAAGCAGCGGATGCCTGTTTTCTGACTGGTCGGCGGACCGCCGACCGGTCGGCCCTGATCGGTCGGGACAAAACGGTCGGCGGTCGGGGTCGGCGGTCGGGGTCGGCGGTCGGCGCCGGTGCAACCCTGTATTGCAAGGAATACGAGTGTGAATGATATACTGAAAAGTTGTGAAAACCAAGTTGCGAAATGACACAGATGTCCAAGTAGTCGTGTACAAGCAGAGAGCACAATTGCACTGAGAATCCATCCAAATAGAGCGATACAATGACGTAATGAGCCAATGCTCAAGCCCTCAGGCCACACCAACACAGTATCCAAAGTCCCCTGGTGCTCCGCTCATCTAGAGCCTTCTTCCACCTCCTCCTGCCTGAGCTCCTCCACCATAGCCACGTTGGAGAGCTGGGTGCTCCTTACCCAGCAGTGCAGCACACTAGCGCTGCTCCACCACGCGCTCCACCAGTGTGTCGCTCAAAGTTGCATGCATCAAATGAGGACAAGCCCATTGCTCTTCCCGGTGATATAGCGAGGGAGCAGCTCCCTTGGGCGGTGATTTCCAGGCCGCACGGCCTCCAAGCAACTGGTATGTCCTCCCTTTCGGAGGGAAACATCATTGCAGGCTCTGATATGGTCTGCGCAGGCCCTAGACTCAGACTACTTGGACTGGCAGCGCACTACTGGGGCTCTAAAAAATGCCAACTTTTGTCTTCTTCTGTTTGCCTTCAGTCCCTGAAGTATCTGCCGCTACTTGAGTGTTTTTCCCCGCTGGTCTAAGTGTTGCGGGCCTACTCCCACCACTTCAGTGTTTTCCCTGCTGCAACCCTCAGAGTCATGGCCACAGGTGAGTACCGGCCCTGTGGGGCCTTCCAACAAGCAAGTGCCCTTGTGGGTCACACACTCACTCAGGCCGACAAGCACTCAGACAGGCACGCAGACCAGCAAACACGCACACACACACAGGCCCTAGACTCAGACTACTTGGACTGCTAGCGTACGACTGGGGCTCTAAAAATGCCAACTTTTGTCTTCTTCTGCTTGCCTCCAGTCCCTAACATATCTACCGCTACTTGAGTGTTTTTCCCCGCTGGTCTAAGTGTTGCGGGCCTACTCCCACCACTTTAGTGTTTTCCCCGCTGCAACCCTCAGAGTCACGGCCACAGTTGAGTACCGGCCCTGTGGGGCCTTCCAACAAGCAAGTGCCCTTGTGGGTCACACACACACTCAGGCCTACAATCACTCAGACAGGCACGCAGACCAGCAAAGATGCACACACACAGCCTTGGAAAACTCAGCCTTGGGAAAACACAGCCTTGGAAAACTCAGCAAAAAGCGGGAATCTCAGCAAGGCATTCATTCTAGCGGCAAAACTCAGAAATCAGCTGTGATCCCAGTCCGTGTTTGGGCAGGTCCTTACAAATGGATGTTTGGTGACGGAGAGGTTGTCGTAGATAAAGACTGTATTTGTCGCATACCAAGATGGTACAGACCAGAACCAAGAACCGACCTCTCACATATAGAGCAAGATAGCACAGCGGAAGACTGGAATACCAATGATCAGACCTAATCAATGTCGAAATGCAGACTGGACATACATCATCATCATCACACGGTGTGAATGGCCTGGCGCCACACACAAGGACGAAGGTGCCAGGCCTAGCTCATGCACAGATGAAGAGGAGGGGGAAGAGACGAAGAAAAGGGGGGAGGAGATGAGAATGTCATCAACCCAAATGTCGCTGTTATCAATCCCAAATAGTCCCCCCGTCTCCGTCCAATGTCGAGTCTGAATCCCAAATGTCGTCAATCTCTCTCTCTCTCTCTCTCTCACACACACACACACACACACACACACACACACACACACACACACACACACATAGCCAGATAAGAAGAAGTCAGAGCGCTGGAAGGGAAAGAAGAAGGTGGTGGACTGGAGGAGGAAGAAGAAGAAGATCTCTCTCTCTCTCCCTATACCAGATACTGACCTGCGAAAGGTGGCGCCTTGATGCAGGTACGAACATGCTGAAGACGAAGCTGGAGCAATGACGTCACAGGTAAGTCTCAGGTAAGTCCCCTGGCCTCTGCCACAGTCTCTCTCCTCTTTCGGCGCTAAGTCCTATCAGCGCCCAGCGCTGGAAGACTAGCGCTACACTGCTCTCATCCGAAGAGTACCCTACTCCATCCTCTACTCAATGCCGAACTGAGGCTGGACCCAGCTATATATAGCGCTGGGTCGGCCTCAGCGGCTGAGTCTGGCGCTCAAACTGAGGCTGGGCCTCAAAAGTTTGGCGCCCAAACTGAGTCTGAGCCTCAAGCGCCTACTGAAACGGTGTTGCCTCTGAATCAGGGTCTGGTGCCAAAATGCGTGCCAGGGCCTGTGGCCGAAACAAGGCCTACAGGGCCTCTAACTGGTACCGGTCCTACTCAGGCCTAAAACTGGCCTACCGACCCTACGGGCCCCTACTGTGGGCCGAAACGACACCGACCCTACACTCTACGGACCCCTAGCCTACCTTGTCGGGCCCTGTTGGGCCCATGTGGAACTGAGTATGCGACAGTATTACCCGCCTCCCTTCTGGAAGTGTGCTGCAGTAGCGGTTGATTATGATGTGATGTGTTAACTCGAGGTTGGGGTCACATTTGATATGTCCTTCCGTCAATTCAGGACAGTGAGGGCATGCATATTCAGTCAAACTGAACTTCCCTGGACGTATACGACCACTATTTACAGCCACGTTCAGCCCAACATGTCACAATGTATGACCTTACGAACTAGATGGTGTACCTTGACTGCTATTTTCAGTCCCCAGATCAGAGCAGACGGATAAGTGAGTGCAGCTCACAAAAGGGAGGGAAAAACAGCAGATCAATAGGAAGCAGTGCTGCTTCGTTTGGAATTGATGATTGACCACTATGGACACAAAATGTATGTGGTGTTATTGCCTTGCAGCTAGAATCCATGTCATCATATCCACATAGTCGCAACCCTGGGAGCGTGCCTTCTGAAGGTGGAGGAGGAGGGAGTGCGGGGGGTGGTGGTTGGAGAGGAGGTCGAGGAGAGGAGAGGGGCAAGAGTGGAGGTGGTGCAGGGGGGCGAGGAGATGACGGTAGTAGTCATTCGCAGCCAAGACGTGGAAGTGCTGGCTTGGTGCCATCGAAGTCGACTCTTTATGTGGGAAATTTAGATTACGCACTGACGAACAATGACCTGCACACTATCTTTAGCACATGTGGTCATGTTGGTAAAGTCTCCATCGTGAAGCACAGATCCACGAGGGAAAGTACTGGCGTTGCTTTCATACTGTACACGAAGAGAGAAGATGCAATCAGTGCTGTCGGGATTATGAATGGCAAAGTTCTGAATGGAAGAACGTTGAAGGTTTGTATCGCTAAAGATAACGGAAGAGCAAAGGAGTTCATCAAACGAAAGGTCTACAAAGACAAAAGCCGCTGTTACGAGTGTGGCGAGTTCGGCCACCTTTCCTACGATTGCCCAAAGAATTTGTTGGGATCCAGAGTACGACCTTTGAAAAAGAAGCAAAGGAAAGTGCAGCAGCCTGGAGTGCGGCCGCCTAGACAGGGTGCTGTTGCACGGCCGCAGCCATCAAGGCCAGGTGCAGGTAATGATGAAGAGGCTGATGACGAAGAGGAAGAAGATGATGAAGATGCCATGGAGTTCGAGGATGATGGATGGGGATCTGTGGTTGCACCAAGGCCTGCATGGGGTTCCTCATCTCAGCCTCAGGATGCAAATCCGGTGGCTAGGGGATTGAAAGGCCCAAGAAAGAGGACAGGCTATTTCAGTGACGAGAGTGGCGAAGACTGATTTTGATGGGACAAGTAAGTGCGGTGTTTGATGAATTCTTGTCAATTGTGTACCAGTAGAAAGGAGAATGACAAGTTGCTGTTCGAATGTAAACTGACACAGAAATGGCCATGCTGTGCAGCAGTGTGTGCAGAGTGAATTTTCTGGCTGGTAGACGTTTCGTTGATTCTTGGGAGCTCTGCTGGGAGAGCTTTTGTGGTGTAAATTTTCTGGCTGGCAGAGCTTTGTTGTGGTGTGAACCTAGACTCTGTAAAGTCTTGCATCGGGTGTGAGTGGGTGATAATGTGCTTTGATTTTGGTTAAGACGGATAATCACTTACAGTACCATCTGTAAGGGGACTATGCAGTCGGTCAAGGGTTCAGCCTCCAGATGAGTCGCTGAAACTCCAACAAAACACAGTCTGTCACAGAGCCCAATGTCCTGTCCTTGCCAGGCAGTTCATTGTGACAGGGATATGCGTATATACATATACCGACCTGTCAGGGGAGAGAGAGAGAGAGAGAGATGGTTTTGTCTTCTCGTGATGTCAAGTGCCAGACTGTCTTATGAAACAGCCGAGTTCAGCCAACCTTCGTCCTATGTGCTTCGTTCAGCAAAACCCAGAACTGAACTACAACAGAAAATGTCTTGTGCTGAAATCTGCAGCCATGCAGGTGTAGGAGTGACCTGGACGGCACGACCTTTAAGCAAGGGAGCGTGAGTCTTATGTGTGAGCAAGTGCGGTCTGGAGAGACATGGAAAGTCTGTCTGCCTGTTTGCCACTTTTCAAAGAATCCTTGTCACTGTTGTGCCATGAAATGGGAAATTGCGATTGCATCTTGCAACATGTATACATGTATTTGCCCATGGCAAAACCAACTTTGTCAACTCAGAATCAGCAATGAACTTGCAATGGCGATATGCGGCCACACAAAAAACTCAGAGATATGGCCTCTGGCCAGGAGTTCAGCTTAAGTCAACTGTTACAACTTGCGGCTATGGCCGCTGAACACTGCACTCTCTGTTGATGTCAGCAGCTTGGCGGCTATGGCCACCGTCGTCTTCCTCCTCAAGGTGGCTATGGCCGCCATCGTCCTCCTCTGCCCTCTTCAGCTTCGGCCACCTGCAGACCTCCACTGCACAAGTTGCTCCACCAGCGCTTCCGCATGGCTCCCAGGCGAATGAATGAATGGCTGGGTGCTGCCACTTTATTTATATTGTTTCGTAGATGGTCTGGCCTGCTGTGCCTCTGGTCCTGGGCCCCAAGCTGTGTGGCCCAAACCGCGTGGGCCTTTGACCTCCAAACCGCGTGGGCCTTGAAGGCTCAAACCGCGTGGACCTGGAGGGCCCAAACCGCGTGGGCCTTTGACCCCCAAACCGCGTGGAACTCCCACCTGGTACTTGCTGACTGGACGAGGTGGACTGGTCTACTTGCTGACTCAGACGCAGTAGACTGGGCCTACGACTTTCTAGATCCTGCAGACTGACCCTTCACTAACAGTTAGGACTACCTATGGATTGACCCTTACACTACTGAAGAGTCAATAGCAGAGGCTTCTAGAAGGACCCTAACTAAGCCTAATGGTAACACACTAAACTGCTAACACGAAGGTCTATGGTTCAAGACCTAGTGACTAACTAACACCCGTACTAACTGACCTAAGGGGTTTAGGGACAGGTCTTGGGTTCAAATCTCACATAGGGTTACACGGTCAATGTACAAGGTTACGGGGTAGGTCTAGGGATCGAGTCTTGATGTCTGAATCTGTGAGGTAAACTGGGTGAAACCGTTTCACTCTCGCCGTCCTAAATCCGAGGTCCTCCGAGAACACTACTCAACACAGGACCTTTACCTTTCCTTGCCCTCTCATAGGCATGTACTATATTGGGAGCGGTTTCTAGAAGCTCGGTTCATGGAAACCATCTGTCGTCCTCAGGTTCTTGATAAACGAATCTGACCTTATACTGTTTCTGGGGACGACCCCGAGCTCCGATTCTAAAGACGTCTTCTTCCACTATGTGATCTATGTTGTATGCGCCATCCATGTCCGATGGAATCATAGCCCTTCGCGAAGGGAACTGCTCACTGGTTGTGCATGGCAACAACTTCGACGCATGGAAGACTGGGTACGTATGGAGGTGCTGTGGCATCTCTATCGTACACAACAGTCCGTCCTCTCCTCCCTTGACTTCTAGGATAGGCCACAATCTTCTATATGTCGGTAAGAGCTTCTTAGAGATGTTATCCTCATGTGCGAATTCCTTGGACTTGACCCTGACTAGGTCGCCCACCTGAAACTGTGAAGGGCAGCGATGCTTATTTGCTTGCTCAATCATGCAAAGCTAGGCTTTCCTAAGGTTTTCAATGACTCTAGCAACCTCCTCGTGCTGTAGAGCGAACTCCCTTGTGCCGGGATAAAATCTCTGAATCTGGTCCCGGTTCAGTCCTTCAAACAACCTACGTGGTCTAAAGGACTTATGCAGCTCCTTAGGAGTTCGGCAGGTAGCTAGATGCATAGTGTTGTGATACACACTAGCAGCCTCCTCGTGCTGTAGAGCGAACTCCCTTGTGCCGGGAGAAATCTCTGAATCTGGTCCTGGTTCAGTCCTTCAAATGGCGTACGTGGTCTAGCAGCTCATTAGGAGTTCTGCAGGGAGCTAGATGCACTGTGTTGTGATACACACTAGCTACCTTGGGAAGCATCTTATCCCAGTTTACTTGATCTGGTCTAATGTACATTCTGAGTAATTGCTGCAAGATCTTATTCATCTGCTATGTCTGACCGTTCGTCCCTGGATGGCGGCCTGATGACATCAACAGCCGTATACTTTCATAAGGTCCTGCCAGTTCTAGCCGGTGAACCGCGTGTCCCGATCACTGACTATGGACATCGGCATACCGTGCTCGCTTACCCAGAAATCGAAGAACTTTTCTATAACTAGGTTTGTATGTGCCTCTGAAGGCAAAGGTACAAAGACTGCATATTTACTAAATCGGTCTACTATGACCATGACTTGGCTTTTACCATGCCTACTCTTGACTTGGTGTCCATAAAGTCGATGGAAACTGACTCTCCGAGTCGTGGCGGGCTAGGCAAAGGTATGAGAAGACGTAGGGGAGTTCGTGTCATTGTTTTGCTACGTTGGCAGACCTTGCAGCTGCAAACATACTCCATACAATCTGCCTTCATGTCGGGCCATGTGTACGTCATCGTAAGGTTGGCCAAAGTCTTTTGCCAACCGAAGTGCCTTTCTGTATCATGGCATTCCCTTGAGATCAAGCTACAGATCTCCTCGTTATTGGGGACACAAAGTTTGTTAACGACATTGGTCTTCTCAAACAACATTCCATTCGTGGGGTTTCTTGTACTCGCCTCAATAGCTCGTTATAAATTGGATCCTGAGCATATGCATTTTTTATCTTCTGCTGTAGATCCGGCCCTATGTCTAGATAGTGTACTATCGCGCCGAAGTAATCTGCTCTCCTATTGAGAGCCTCAGCTACCACGTTATATTTATCTTTAAAGGGCTTTAGCTCAAAATCAAACCGTCATCTTGTGTCTTCAGCCACCTTGAGGTCTCGTGGTCAGAGTACACTTTGAAGTGTCTCCCAAGCAGGTAGTGCCGCCAATGATCTAGTGCCTGCCTGAGAGAGTCGAGTTCCCTCTCATATGTCGATGCTGCCACCTTTTTTGAGGGCAACTTGGTTGACATGAACTCTACGGGCCTATAGCCATTGCCGTCATCTTGCTGTAGAACGACACCTATGCCATACTGACATTTCTAGTGATGACGAAAGGCAGCGACGGGTCGGCGACTTCGAGGACAGAGTACTCTATCAAGGCGTTTTTGAATTTCTAAAAGGCCGAGGTGCAATCTTGGTTCCACTTCCAGATCGCTTTTTTCTTTAGCTGTCTATGAAGGGGAGGAGTGATATAGCGGAAAAGTTCCTGATAAACTTCCTATAATAGTTGGTCAATCCTAAAAACGATCGCGACTTTGTTAGGGTGCGAGGAATTTGCCAATCTGAAATAGATGCCATCTTACCGTCCTCAGGTGGGGTACCGTCTCCATCTAACATGTGGCCCAAGTAAAGGATTTATGTCTTGGCCCATTCACACTTCTTCGCGTCGATCTTGAAGTTAGCCTGATGTAGCTTCTCCAAGATTTGCCTCAGATGGCTCTCATGTTCCTCAAGGGTCTTGATGAATACTAATATATCATCTAAGTAGACTACGACGAATCGATCTAGCCACAGTCTAAACAAATCGTTCATACAATGTTGAAACGTTGCTGGTGCATTGGTAAGTCCGAAGGGCATCACTATGAACTCATAATGCCCGTATCTCGTTTGGAACGCCGTCTTGTGTTGATCGTCATGGTGCACTTCTATCTGATGATACCCTGACTTCAAGTCTATCTTCGTGAAATACTTGCAACCCTGCACCCGATCTGAAAGATCATCTATATGAGGCAGCGGCTACGCATTCTTTACAGTTATGGCGTTCAGACTCCTGTAGTCTATACACATGCGTAGCTCACCCCCTTTCTTTGTGACAAAGAGAACAGGTGCGCTCAAAGGAGATGAATCGGGCCTTATCCATCCTTTTTCCAATAGCTCGTCTAATTACTTACGAAGCTCCTCTAACTCTTTGGGAGACATTCTGTACATTGCTCTCTTGGGTGTTCTAGTCCCAGGTTCCATCTCTATACAGTGCTGGATAGGTTTCGGTACTACTCCGAAAGGTGCCTCAGATAAGTCTTTGTATTCTTCCAACAAATTGGCAATAGTGGGATGGACTTTCTCTTCCTCCTTTGGCGTGTCAGTAACTGGCCTGACATAGGCGACAAACACCAACTCTTCGAGCTGCTTCTTTCGCATAAGTCTAGCGAATGCAGGAACACTGAGGCAGCAATGTGCTAGGGAATTGTCCATCCCTGACTCGTGGTACAGGTGGGGTTTTGACTTCACCTGCTCTACTAGGGAGCCTGCACTCGTGCTCTCGAAGGTGCAAAGTGGCCCCTGCACATCGAACGAGAGATTTTCTTTGACGAGAAGAGTCAAGGAGTGGAGGACTTTTTCTATCTTCCCTTCCTTTTCTAGGCAAAAGTATGCCTGGACTCCCTCGACGTATTCCTCGACCCGCATTGTGCGGTTGTCTGCGAGGATACTGACTACGAACTCTTTCAACTGTTGGACTTTAAGGCTGAGGTTTAACTTTTCCAGCGCCTTACGACTAATATAACTCCCAAGTGGCCACATTGTTTATAACGACCCCTACTCTGGTTCTAAAAATCTCTATATCTGCAAGAATGAGCTGCCCTTTCCCATCTTTCTTCATCTTGGCCCAGGCTTGCCTCCTCTCCTCCAACTCTTCGGCTAAGCCTGTGAGGGAAGCGTCTAGAGAGACTTTAAAACAAGCGGTCTCTGGACAACTTATTGGACGCTGGCCAGCAACCTTTGAAAGATATGTGGAGTGGGAGTCTCTATCTTGTGTGCACGCTCAGATCCACACACTCCTGGGGTGGGGGCAGTTGCGACCCCTACTGGCGGTTGCATTTTGGTGCCCTAGAAGCAGCACGGTCCCTATACTTTGGACAAAACTTAATGGTATGATCAATGTTCCCGCAGAACACGTAGTGGTACTTGTCTATGCAGTCCTGCCATATAGTTTGCCCAATTCCCAATGATTCCCAAGGCCACCCTTCCGGCCGGCCTGGGTGCCACCTTCCTTGTCTGGGAGGTGACCAACTGGAATGCGGACACGGTTAGATGGGGGACCTTGACCCCTTCCTCCCGCTTGGCGGCCCCTGTTGCCGCCAACCCCTTGGCCGCCTTGTCCTCGACCGCCTAAAGCCCGACCATTCCTGCCAAAGCCCCTTCCTCCTCCTTGGGGCCTCCCTCTGGCCGCGACAACAGTGTAGCTACTCCCCTTCTCTACCCTACCATCTTCCTCCTCCTCGAGTCCTCATTCAATGTCAGAGTAGGGGACTTCATCGACACCACCTTCCTCCATTGTTAAGATTAGACTATCTTTGGCCTTGACCTGGCCGGAGATGGTGCGCCCTTTCCACTGTTTCCCCTTTGTCAAATCCTTATGCCAAAAAGTGGTAATTGGCATTGGGCAGCGAATGCTACGACCTCCCTACTAGGAGTACCATATGTCATACTTGGTTGTTGCTTCATATCAAAGGAGTGCCCGTACAATTGCTCGGCCAATGCACAATAGAAGAGTTGGACCAACTGTGCATCGGCATGGAGCTCGTCTATGGCGGCCTTTAGCGCGTGTACGTTGCGCCATTGCCACGTGTGAATCATTTGGAGCTTATATGATGCCTTGACGACACTAGTGATGCTTGCAAAATGTTACCTCGGTGCTTTAAGGAAGGTGGAGAGGTGGGTGATCCTAGAATACTGGACCATGTCATTTTCGCAGTGTGCCGCGTGTGCGAGTGACCTTGCAAAGCTGGTCGCTTCATCTCTTAAAGCCTGAAAGGCTATTAAGACATGATCTTCGGGGGCCACGTCCTGTAAGTACATATAAGAATTGGCGTTGGCCTCCCAATTATCGAAATCTTCTCCCTTTTTCCCACTGAATGGTTCAGGGAAACGGACCTTGACTCTTTCGCGGCGATGCCTAGGCTCTTCCTCCTTAGGGCCCGCTAGCTTGGCACCTTCTATGGCGCCCGTGCAAAATTTATCGGTCTTTCCTATCGCGCTATGGATCTCCCCCAGTAAATGTGTCATCATGTCTCGTGCGAATTCTTTGAATCCAACCTGTACGGATTCTAGCGCGATATCGTGGCCACAAATATGCTTTCATCGCTCTCTTTGGGTGGTCAGTAGGGAATCTATGCTTTGGGTCAGGCTGTCATTTTCTTTCCTATTTCAGTCTTTTCCCTGATCTTCCGCATCTTCGTCTCGACCGCCTTCATGTCTCTTTTCAACCTCTTTGCCACCTCCAAGCGCCTCGCCCGTTCCTGGGCCAGGCGCAACTTCCACTCCAATTGCTTCTCTTGTTCCCTTGCTTGTCGGTGCAAGGTATCCACTTCTCCTTCAAACTCTCTGGCAACTTCTCTTTCTGCTTGGGGTACCATCAGTTCTGCCTCTTTATCTTCCCCCAATGACAGAGTAGCTACCCATTCCTTAACTACCTTCTCCACCTCCTCTGGTGGGGTACTACGGGAACTTGCCTCCCCCTTTCTTCCCATCAAGGCCTGTTTTTCTCCGACCTCCACTTCTTCCACTTCTTCCTCTTCTTCGGCCTCGACTGCAACCAACTCCACTTCCTCCTCTTCTTCCTCTTCTCCGGCTTCCACTTCTCCAACTCCTCTTTCATATGCCTCTTCTTGGCCGCCTCGTCTTCGAACAGGGCCAACTTCTTCGCCTGTTTAATCAACTCCCTCTTTTCCATTTTCTCCTTCTTCTCACGGAGAATAGCGGCGGCCCTCTCTTCCTATGCCTTGCTATAGGGGGTAATGCTCGTTCCGGTCTTGGTGGTCGACATGTTGACAGGGCACAATCACCGGCGATTCAACACCTCAACACGTAGACCTACCAACTTGACTCACTAAAGGACTACAAAGGTCTTTCTTCAGCTTAAGCCAGGTTGCCATAGCCGGCGGATGCTTTCGCAACCACTATCACCGAAACTTTTCACAGTCGACGGATGCGAGCACAACCACAGTCACCAAAACTTTCCACAGCCGACGAATGCTTTTGCAACCACTGTCATCGTAACCCACCTGGCTTTCGCTTCAGATTGACACTCTGTCAACTACTCGGCTCTGTCCTAAATTACTTTGACAATTGGCTGATCAGGAGGCATTTAAGGAGATCCCCCATAACTACTATGGTTTGTCACTACAGGACAATTGGCATGACAGGATGACGATCACAACCGAAGTCCTCTCAAGACTTAGACAGATTGGACACCCGCGCCGCAGCTCGGAGTTCGGGTATAGTGTGCCACCCAGAGCAACCTGCCGGTCTGTACCGGTCCTTGGGGGGTTTTCCCAGGTCGTCTAGTGTCAGACACACCTCAACCTCTACTAAGTCCCGTGCAGACAGTGGCTCACAGCCCCTATCTCACTACATGCACGGAATCCTATAGACCTGGACAAGAATGACTCAATGAAGAAAGAGATGACTGACAGACTCTTCAACAAGTACCAAGGTGAGTGTGCATTTCCACAGGGCAAAGGTGTAGGGCCAGGGCTTGAAGAGAATATACCGCTCCTTGCTCCGCACTCCAGCTTGGTCACCAGTACTGGTTAACGCTCGCCGGTCAACGTTGGTCAATGCTTCCAAGCTCCGATCAATATTGGATATGGCTGCTTCTTCTCCCTTCTTCTCTTTCGTCAACTCACCCTCCTTATTCCTCGCCCTTGTCTTCGGCTATGGCCGACTTCCAACTCTTCTCAAGTGGTGATGGCTTCCCTAACCTTTGTCACCTCTCTCTCTCTCCCCCTCGCCTACTTCTCTTTCGTCTAGTTGTTTGTCTTCTTCTTCCTCTGAGCTCGGTGGCTATGGCTGCCGTCCGCTATGGTGGATTCTTCACTTCCCCGGGATCCTTTGTTTATTGTCGTAGTCTTCACCTTCCAAAGGAGGTACCAATATACATTGGGGGCCAAGTTCCACTTTCCCGGGATCCTTTGTTTATTACGATATATTACAGAGATTGACTGCCATAAATAAAGAAATTGGGCAAGTGGGACTTAGGCCTGGGTAGTAGAGTAATGGAAGGATCTTTCGAGGTTCTGCGGAAAGATGCACTTGCGAGTAGTCTGTTGAGCCCCCAAGTGCAGTATCTTTTGTGATCCATGGTCACTCCGACCACATTAGAAAACAAAAAGAAGAACGTTCTGCGCAATGTGCATTTGGGCGTTGTCATGTCGTGTCTGTGTCATCCCAGCCGCCCCTACTCTCAAAGGTGCATATTTTTTTTTCTTGTGTGTGTGTGTGTGTGTGTGTGTGTGTGTGTGTGTGTGTGTGTGTGTGTGTGTGTGTGTGTGTGTGTGAGAGAGAGAGAGAGAGAGAGAGAGAGA